CTTGGTATCATTTCTCACATATGTCTGAATAGGGGATTGTGGTTTGGTGAATTGGCTGCTGCCATCAGCTAGTTATATAGGGTGAATTGACTTTAATTCATAATTAGAATTTAAAATTGACAGATAACCCACTCTGTTGCTTAACCTGCAACTCCTTTTATATTGTGTTATTGTTCATATTGAAATGAGAAATACACAAGGTATAATTTTCAAAAAACAAAAAAAAAAACTATTTTGTATTTTGAACAAAAATTTAGCAGTTTCCAACTCCAAGACAGATCCCTTGTAATTCCCATTGCTCACGATACAATTATATACAGAATTCTTGTAGTATAAAACCGGATCCGTCACAAACTTCATGTCCCAGAAATAACAAATGTAACAGTTCAGGACTTTACAAGCACGGGTCATATCCTTAAGCTAATCTTAACCTACTTATGACTAAAATAATATATATGTACAGATAGAGGAAGGAAGAAGAATAGATCTAGGACAGGGGTACTCAATTGTCTTGAATGTTCCCTTTGCACATCAATTGGATCCAACTTTCTTTGTCTCAGTTAATGCTCTCTCTCTCTCTCTGAACTTCTCTGTGAATATGGGGTGTTCTTTCTGAAAATACCTCAAGACACAAAAATTTTCTCTTTGTGTGTTCCTAACTTAAACACCACTATACCACTTCCTCATGCTGTTGAGAAGGGACTCTTGGTTGTCTGCCAAAAACGACCAAAAGTCCCTTCTCAACACATCTGGTCTCCTTGGTGTCTACCCAAAAAGTGCTTAACTTGCCCTCGCTTTTCCTTCAGGGCCTTTCCTCCTCCTATTGTTGTTACTGCCCCCACCCTATCGGGGAAGTGTTCCATCCAAATTTCTTGAAAAATGAAACAAAAGAAAAGCAAGAATAAAGGAAAGTGAAAGAATGAAAAGAAAATGTGATAAAATCCTATATACCATACAAATGATATGGTAAATAGCCACAATATTATCTTTCAAACACAGATAACCTGCAAGTTATTTGCCCAAAATTACAGTAACAGAACTGTCTCATTTGTCATTATTTAAGAGTAAAACACTCAAGTTTATTTTGTAATGTTGGTGACGAATTGTATCATTATTTTTTACTTATTTAAATTATCATATGATTATATATAAAGTAAAAAATAAAAGACAAACTGAAAGGACTTATTTAATTGCAAAATTTTCTTATATTTAAGTGACCTTTAAATGAAATTTACATATTGATATTTATTATCCATTAGATAAAGATTATTTTTTGTTATTAATTCTACATTATTTTGAAATATAATGTAATTAAATGTTTATAAATATTTTTATCTTTTGCAAATATACCAGTGAAAACATTATTGCAAAATACATATTATTGGGAAAAAATCAATGATAATTTTTCAATTTCTTCTTGTAAATCTCATTGATTCTTATTATTTTTATGTTGATATTGATAAACAAAAAGTAGTGAATATAAAATTCAGCTTGGAATTAAAATAAACAACCCTGAAATGTATCTGAAAAAACCTGAAATAAGCAACAAAAACTAACTATAAACTTGAAAATATAAGTATCTTTGCATTTTTAATTTTATAAATCCTCTATTTTACAACCTAAATGGAATATTACAATCTTTGTGATTATTGTACTATAATAATGTGTTTTTTTTTATTTTATTTTGTAATGTTAAATAAAATGCCTAAAAAATTATTGAAATATTTTATCAGCAAAATTTTCTGTGAATAATCTACAAATTTTTTGTGTTTAACACTAGAATTTTCAGTGAATTTTCGCTAATGTTAACTATAGAAATAGTCATTTGACCATTTCTTTCTTTTTATTCAGAATAATCTGCATTATCTTCAAATAGTAGTTGATATCAGATAATAAATGTTGCAACTAGAATATTAAAATAATTTATTGCAAAAGATAGACTGAAATAATACAGAAAGGATGATTTATGCTAGTTTCAATGTTTCAACCTAATAAAATTATCATAGAGAAGTGGACAGCACGCCGACCGTTTAATAGGAGAAACTTTTATCATATAGGCGTTAAATTACAAATAAATGTCACTAGACCGACAAGCACTTTCGACAATAATTATTTTCGTCTTCATCAGGTCGTTAAAAACGGTTAAATTCCTTTTTTTTAATACAAATAAGTACTCGTTCCAAGCGTATTAACATTTTGGAATGGAATCAACAGTAGAACATAAGAAATTTTTTTTAAATGAAAACACGTGCAGTTGTAATGCGCATGTGCTACACGCCTCCAAATTGTGGAGCTAGATACGTTGTTTTAGATAGTTATACAAATTGATCCACAAAGGGGGCAAATCAAGTGTGGGGGTGTTGCAGGGATTTAATATGTTGGTAAGGTGGGCCTCCTAAACATACACAAGACTTCTGTTATTGCAATGTCTTATTATGGCCACCTCGTCCCACAACGGGGTATGTTGGTGTTGCAACACCATTCTAGTGAGCTCAGTTTCATTCTTGCCTTTCCTGATAGAATACTGATGCTCTGAAATATGATAAGATAACATTATGGTTGTCGTGCCAATATAATGGGTGCGACCACCCGTCATATTTTCTAATGGGATAGAATAAACCCCCAATCTTTCAAGAATGGAAGTAGGATCTCTGTCATTGGACAGCAACCTCCTAAGATTTGGTCGTGGGGAGACCGGCAGAAAAAACGCATGTCGCCTAAAAATACGGCAAATACAGACCATGACATGACCACAAAACGGTATTGCGGGAAGGACTATTGTGGATTCTTTCAAATGTAGTGTAGTAGCAGGAAAAAACAATCTTTTTACCTTATTTAAGATGTAGATAAATTTTGCATTATTGTAGTCCACCTCATTTACCGCACAGCGAATAATATTAAGCTCGGTATCGATAGCAGCTTGGCTGGAAGATAAAAGAAAGGCCCTTCTAATTAAAGGTGCAATTGCTGCATTGATGTAATGTTGCGGCTGGTATGCTGAAGACGAAAATAATTATTGTCGAAAGTGCTTGTCGGTCTAGCGACATTTATTTGTAATTTAACGCCTATATGATAAAAGTTTCTCCTAACCTAATAAAAGTTTGTTACATTAACAAAATATAATAAGAAATGCATACATATTGAATTCAGTCTTATAATAAGTTAATATGTAATATATATAATATACGTATACATGCAAAAAATCTATAATGCGTTTGTTTCTTTAGTCTTGTGTTTTACATTTGACACAAGTAAAAATTCATTTAGATTCTGTTTAACACTTTTCACATACTAGCTTCCTACAAAATGTGACAAATGGCAGTAATATTGTCCTGTTTGCAGTTTTTCATTAGTTGGCAATATTGTCTATGATCAGCTGGATCAGGAAGATCTACATTAAGTGATAGTTGTGTTAGCTACACCTAGACTTCATAGAGGATCCCCTCAGTCTTCAATAAGTTGGAGAATGAATCTATGGCAAGAAGTCTTTTTTCCAGTCATTTTTTGATATACAATTCAAGAATTAATAGCAGCTATGTTATAAAATATATGGAGTGGCACCTGCGGGTTCTGTTCTTATAGATTAGAGCAGAGTCATCTGATTGACCAAGCTTTGTCTTATTGTAGAACTCGATCATCTCAGCTAACTTCTTACATCCATCTGATATAATACAATCAGGATACAGTGTACATTATAAGAATGTTTTTGTTGGATTTTCCTTGGCAGCAAGTCAGAAAAATTCCATGTTCCATGTTCAGGAAAGTTGAATCATATAGAATAACACTGAGGTTCTTTATTTCCTGTAGGATTTCTCCCCTAAACTTTTTCACAGTTCCTGTAATACTAGTTTCTTCAATCTTCAGTTTTTTAGCTAATATAAGGGAAGTGAAATATGGTCGACCCCCTATAACACTGTTGATTATTCCGTTTTATATGAATTCCATGTTGTACGAGTCACTTAGATTTTACAAATACGTGTGCATGTCTGAAAAAATATTTTATAATTTGCCTGTATAAAAAAAAAGTTTTTGTAAATTTATATTTTATATGTATCTCCATTTAATAGTATGAAATTTTATTGTTTAGTTGGCTGATGAGGGGCAGAACAAGCCCAAAACATGTAATATGATACACGTGTCAACTAAATAAAGATGAAAGAATGCCAAGTGTTTAAATTTGTCACACTTCATTGTGTCTGAGCATCAAACAAATATAATTTATGATAGTACATGATTAAAGCTTTCAAATAAATATCATTTTTTTAACAACAACAGTATTTCTCATATATTATTATTAAAGTTCATTTATAGAATGTTTAGGACAATATATTTACTATTAGTGTTGCTTTACATCATGTCACATTGTAAACATTATCAAAAAATAGTCATAAAACTTTCAAAATAATTTTCTTAAAATGGTTTTTAGAAATTTTAATACTGCTCAAATATTATTCTATACTGCAAATATGATGTAAATGAGGTTGGATATTATTAAAGTCAACTTTTATTAAATTTTCTGAGATGAATTATTTGCAATAAGAACAATGGACTTTTTGTAGAAACTTGTAACTGTTTAAAGTTTTAAAATTCTAAACATTAGATATTAAGTAATTTTATTCAAGCACTCTTGGAGCCATTATAATTGTTTATTAATAAAAATTCATGAATATTAACAAAGTTTATTATATAAAATTTAGATTTTGTTAATATTAACAATGAAAGATGATTAACATAGTACACAAAAAACAAAATACAAAAAATGATATTTTAAGTATATAATGTCGTAGCATTCTTAATATAGTTTGTTTATTAAATACACAAGTTATATATAATAAATGTTTATGAAAAGCTTTACTGAAAATTGAATGTACTATTTAAATTTATCTTAGATAAGTTATTTGATAATGAATTATAAAAAATGTTTAATAACAATAAATTCTTTGTGTTATTTTTAATCTATATCATATAAAATATATTACTTTATATGTATATGTTTGCAGTTGCTGGACACCCTACCAGTTTGCCGAGATTTTAAATCTAGCCAATGTAAGAGACCACAATGCCGTTATGTACATCTAGTGGAAGGTAACAGATTTAAAATTTCAATAATTTGTAAAATTAAATTTTGTGTAAATGTTATATCTTTATAATTAAATTACAAAATTGTTTTTGCATCATTCCATATTGATCATGTAGTATAAGTATTTTTTATTCAAGGAAAAGATAAGTTGTCGATTTAAAATTAAGAATCTTTTATTTTCAGATTATGTTGAAGTGGTGGATGGAAAAGTAACAGTATGCCGTGATGCTATGAAGGGAAAATGTAATCGTCCCCTTTGCAAATATTATCATGTGCCCTTACCACTCCCATTTTTTACTACGCTACTCTGACAGGGAATAGAGAAACAATGACTATATCACCAATGTGGTGTTTTCCTTGATGAAGTAAGACAGACTTCAAATTATGGCATGCAAACATTCACAAGTGCCCTGGTGAAATGATTTCAGAGCAAGTGTACATTTTTCTTCAAACCAAATCAAATTTCCCATCACTACATAAGTAGTAGAATGCTTCCTGTGATATAGTATATATCTTGTCCTGCACTTTTGGAAGACATTCTGAGGGGCAAAAATATTCCGTGTTCATGATGGCATCTAGTCAGATTGTTTATGTAAAGACTATTATCAAAAAAAAAAGTATATTATATATATATATAACAACAAAGTGTTGTCAAAAACGAAAGGCCTAAGATATTATAGATAAACCTTACTGATTTGTGCCATTTATACTGTTTAGTTTAATTATTAATCAAAAATTTTGTATTGTTATTACTGTATATTTTAAGTTAGCTTACATCAATATCAACAATCGTTTTATTTACATAAAGCATATAAACCAAAACATGGCCCGAAAGTCTATGCAAACATATTAAATGTTTTAATGTGAAAGTTATAAAAATACATTTTAATTTTTATTGTTATTTTTTAAGATTATATATAGGCCACAATGCAACAATAAGTTGAAAATCAATAAAATGCTGTTTATATTGATCATGTCATAAAAAGTCACTATGGTTTACAGACCAGATAAAGGTATTTTTAATAATGTTTTGTATGTCATGTTGTTTTATTACTAGCATATCTTTGTAAATTCTGGTAAAATGTTGTCACTGATATTTCTATTCGCTTTAATAAAAGTTTTATATTATAAATGTTTAATCATGGAATATTCAGTGGTGACAAAATATAGAATGAAATTTGTATATAAGAAAGGAAAATACCAAACCGAAGAAAAAAAAAACGTTGTTTGTTGCATTGTCTATAACTATAAATATTAATTTGATTTAGTTGTTAGTATAAGTTTGTATAATTATTTTACAAAAAAATGTATTTTGATCTATATACATAGTCAAAACTTTAATTTAAAAAAAGAAAAAAAAATGGTGTGGTACCTGATCAATTTTAGAGATCATGTTTTGTAAAAAGAAAATATTACCAAATTACATATATGATAGATAATCATATGATTTAAACATGTGAATAGTTCTCATTGTTATTTTATATATAATTTAACTTTACTGTCCATCAAAATATTTCCTTAATGATTGTAACCACAGACAAATTGTCATTATTTAATATGTGATTTACTTCTGGTCCATTTAAAAATTTGAAAAAGAAAACAAAAAAGAGAGAGAGGGGGGTGTCAAGAAGTTTGCAGATAGTATTAAAAGTTGTGTTATTAACACATATCAGTACAATTTGTGATTGACAGTGTGTCTGTGGTAATATGAATTTAGTTTGACAAAAAAAAAAAAAAAGATATATATTGTGATTTTTTGAAATGTCAGTTTTTCTCATTGTTGATATGTATCTTTGTTGGCGGCATTACATAGAAGAAAAATCTGTAGGATCAAAAGAAATTTGATATAAAGTAAGAATAAGTGCAATAGTATAGGATTTTCTCTATGTAATGCTTCTGACTTAACTAACAGTCCAAAGCTGTTTGTCCTTTACCTGTCCATCCATAACCACAATCTAATCTGTGACATTCCTGTAGTGTCTATAAATATAATTAATAATTATAATATATAGTATATGCAGAAATGAAAAATTAACTCAACTGTTTATAAAGAAAATAATACAAAATTTAATTACTTATTCAAGACTTTCAGAATTCAAGAATTAGAAAACTTAAATTTAAAATTTTATGCACTACATTTGGGAACAAACATGGAACTGCCCTTTATTTATAAAAAGTAATATGGGATGTAGATTATTTATCAGCCAATAGAAGACCAATATAAAATAGAGGAAACAAACTGTTACAATCTCCATTTAGATCCAACGACTGAAAAAAGTTGTTTACAAGTTTGAATAATGACTAGTTGCTGTCCTTGAGAATTGTTATCTGGGATTCACCATAGAGGCTGGTGCTAATCTCTCATGATTTGGAGCTAATAGACTTCATTGACAAATGTGATACTATCTTCAAAGTCAATAGTGAACTTTTTGAGTGCCACAAAAAACCTGTCGACCCAACATAGATAAATTGATCCGTGTGCACTATGTCCGTGTTTTCAGTATTTAGAATTAAATGTTACAATACCTCACAGATACAGATGATAACCTTCTAGAAACTGTCTAATTGTTATGTAGTTTGTGCAGATACTAGTTAATAGATCCAAAACTGCAATCTGTGATGAGCAAAGTTCCTTGTTTCAAATTCCTGTTAAAAAAAATAATTTCCATGTTTTTAATTTAAAATGTTATATAATTTAAAATATAAAAAACGGTTTCCTGTAACAGGAACAGCACAAAAGTTATAAAAAAAAAATTAAAATTAAATTAAAAATCCATTTACAAGTTTTTTTTTCATTTTTAATCTATATCTCTCTATCTTACTCTTTACACAAAATATATATATATATAATATATATAAATTATATATACATGAATG